TATATGATTTTCACAAATTTAATGCACGGGGAGAGTATACACGGTACTGTAAAAAGTTACTAATTCAGTGTATCCGCCATAAGTAAAAATGTACAGCTATTCAACGCAAACTATCAAATGTAAGTCAGGTGTGGTCATATTATATGCATATATTTTGGTTTTGTCCTCAAAAGGGAATTGCCTGCGTCGCCATGAAGTGGTTTAGCTCCGTTGTCGTCATTGCCATTACAACTCTGGTAACTGCTCGGCCAGAAAAATTGAACAAGGACCATCCTGCTGCCTTTAAAGAAGGTAATCACTTTTTAATAGTATTTCAAAATACTTTTAAAAGTTGTTTGTGGTGTTCGTAATTACTATAGAGTAGCAAAGATAAACGTTTGCCATCCAGTTTACAACAGTTTGATAATAAATTGACGTAATATAGTAAAAAGATATACCAGAGTTCAAAACAGTAATTTAAACATTAAATGGATATTGAACATGAGACTACGAACAGTACCTAATGTTTCAGCCCTACTGGCACATAGTCGTGCCAAACGTGACTTGTTCGTCTATGGAAACTGGTGCGGTGTCGGCATCACTGGAGTGGGGACAGCTTGCACTTGTGAAGATACCGTAGCAGACTGCGAGTAAGTATTCCTATTTCCTATATAACATTTCAATTTTGTTAATGAGACCGTCGAGACAAATAATCTGAAAGTATTCCTGCATATATGTTTGCCGAAAGATGTTTGATTTTAGCTTAGAATAACACGTTTTTGTTTTAAAAAATATTATATTGGTCCTCACAAATTTGCAAAGACATTTCCAAAAGTTCGTCAAGGGTTCAAACAATGTTCCATACACTACTGTATATATAACCATATCAGATATTTGGTCAGTTTTATTTTTAATCAGTCATTAATCAGTATCTCCAACGCGCAAGAAGATCTAACGGTGTAACAACATACCGTTTGTTGATTCCTAAAGATATTAATTTGATCGAACTAATACTCCGATGCATAGTTAGACTGACAGTTAGGTTTTTATGCGATCTCGACATCGGTATATACAAGTAAATTATTAGTGAGAAAATCAAGTCAGTTATTGGTGAGAAGATCGACATTTAAAAATGCAGATTTAGTGAATCTAATTTACATGTGAGACACAGTTTGGCTATTCCAGCAGCCAGGTTTTAAGCAGTTGAAAACCTGGTTAAGGTTCAACGGTAACCATTAACCGTTAACGCACACACCCAAACAAAAAAGGTTAAAACGTATACCAACACCATTTATATGAAATAAGCTTGCCCTGTTAAAATGATGAAAAGTACTCGTAACGGACGCTGGAAACTGCGGTTACCGTGTAGTACCAGAGCGTGGCCTGCATGCTCTCCGTAGAGTCTTGAACAGGCTTGGCGAAAAAAAAAGCTTTATTGCTGCAAATTAACCTCTTTAGAGTTAATAAAGTATTTTACAGACACCTACACTATATAACATCTAGACTAAAGATCCTGTCAGGGCTTTGTTTCTGATTTACAAAATAATCACTAAATGTTTATGATAACTGTTTCTTTGCAGCATATAGGAGTCTTAGTTTTTTTCATCGTAGAAAAGGGATAAACGTTCCACCTAAGGAAATGATGTATTAAATTATCGTTATAGCTCACATTTTAAGTTTAGATTAACATCTTTATCGGCCACGTTACCAGCACGTCGTGACTGCCTGTAGAATTTCATGTCGGCGGTCACAATGTGTAGCCCCCGACCGTTTTTCAAGGGACCTCGTTCCTTCCACGACCACAGCAATCATGGAGATTTGTTAACTTTCAAAAGCCTCAACCGTTTTTGTTTTGATTGCAGTAAGCTTTCTATACTGCTCCAAAGTGAAACTTAAATCAAAAGTTAGGTGACCATCCAATCGTCACCTCACGGATTTGGGAGTTTGTTACGACACGTTTACACCTAAAACGTATTTATTTATTATTTATTTATTTATTTATTGTCTATCTGCTTTGATACAGTTCAGCTCTGGCCAGTTAATTGGCGGCGCTGTCTTAATGAATCTATAGTATCCCTTTTTCATGGTATGATATTTCGAAAATATATAAATGATAAAGAAATCAAAATTTCTTTTAGGGCTGCCCTTGCACCCAAGGACTCACTGGACGCGGCTTGCTTAGAACACGACCTCTGTCTGTGTAACAAGTAAGTAAACCTCACGCCACCTTTAACATCTTGGGATCATAAAGGTCATAAAAAGGGCAGTGTAAATTTGCTAGCAAATATATTCGCCAGGTGTGCTTCTTCGCGTTGGAATTAAGAGATGTGTATTTAGGTGACTATAAGTATTTGTTATGTTTGATACATTCTTTTATTTGTTACAAGTAAAATCTTTGTTCTGTTAATCCGAAAACATGTGCAGTTCAAATATATGTTCCCACAAATAACATCCATTATACAGCATNGCCACGCTCTTTTGGATGAATGGGACAATATCCCACATAACAGAATTGTTACCCATGTTGAAGGCTTGTCGCGCCGTCTACAGGAGATAATTGCAGTACGCGGTAGACGCACACGCTGTTAGGCACGTGATCTTTAACGAGCACACCCTAATGCTAATTGTGTGTGAATTTGGTGACATTTGATGGCACCTTTTCAATTTTATAGACATTTCTTTACATCTGTAGAAGAAACAGTGAAACAGTCGATTTGAGGGGGTACCTCTTATAAATTTTACTAAATGGTATAAAATATGTATATTTTCACCACTATTTTGTATTTTTTTTAACCATTAATCATGTTAGACACGGTATCCTTGATAAAAAGCACTATTTCTAACAGTTCACAGCTGTGAGGCGTATCATTTGTAAATAAAAGTACATGGAAATGGGGGTGGGACAACCTTTTTGACCAATGCTGTAGCTGGAGAAGGATCTCGGCATGCTAATTGCGTTTTCTATCATTGTACAATATAGGCCACCAGGGGACTTACCCGAGCTGATCGCATTATGTCAGTGCAATATGGAGATCTACAATGATGCCTCAGCCAATAACGTCTGCACGGAGTATAGCTGGTGGTGGAATTTCTTTGCCCGCAGTAGTTGCGAGTCCTACAGAGCTGGGTTAAAATCAGCATTTCTCTTTGCCCCGTGCTACTGCCAAACGTCGTCTTCGGTTGTGCTAGGTTTCCCACAGTGTCAATCACCATAAATAGTAATGCGAGTCAAACGGATATTTTGAGAGCTAAATAGGTCGGACTGAAATAATAACGCCTCAATGTGCGGGTAAAGAATAATCATTTTGAATATATATCAAGATAAGGCAATTTTTGCTGCACTTTCTACTCATCCATACCATTGTATGATAGCCATTTCTTCCGTAAAATATATAAAACATATGTTATTTTGATCTAATTTTACTACTTTTACACTGTCGATGAAATAAATTCAATATCCATTTGACGCTTATTCTTTGTTGTTTATTTTTTCCTTTCTTGGATATGAATCACGATTTTAAAAACATAACAACTACAGCTGAATGGAAGCATACACGTCGCAAAGAACTGGCATTAAAACCTGACATTAATCTCACCCACATGAGTGCATTAGCTTATTTTGGGGAATAAGCTCGCCTCTCAGCTGTGATTGGACAATTTAAGACATGCAACCTAAAATGAAATATACTGTGCATAATCTGTGACCAGTCACTATTTTTGGGAACTACTGCCTTCAGCCACACAAGTATTAGGTTTCTCGTTGCTGTGCGCGTCACTTTTGGTCGGAAACGGTGTGTGGTCTTTGGTGCCAAGTCGATTGCAAGACCAGTGTGACAGGAATGGTACTCCACTATAGCTAGGAACCGCAGTCCTTCCCCCGTGGTCCTTTATGTACAGGCGAAATTCTTCTCGTATACTGACCCCACAACTCCATTCTTAGGGCTATCATTCCCGTCACACGGACAAAAACTTTCATATCGACCGACGGTTTATTTCGAAGTCAAATAAACTTCAGGAATTTCACGGCAACAATCGGCTGTTTGAAGATGGATTTCCCCCATATCTGCATGTCGCTGTACGTAAGTTGGCAAGATTCGTCGAAAAGTAAGCGATTAAACTCAAGAACTTAATTTACTTTGTCTGCCAAAGCCAAATCCCGCGAAAACTCGATTTTAAGGTAAATCGCGACTTTGGGTTCATTCGGACGATTCCAACTAATATATCCTTTCCCATCTTATCTGATTGTCTGTTCGACTGTGCTATTTTGTTGGACTGTATTAAAATTATACTTAGGGTGCTTTCCCAGAGATTTAGATCGATCTACAGATTAAGATTTAGATCGACCTAACTCCCTGGGAGTTCACGCTAAATTGCAGTCAGCAGAGCGGACACCATAGTTAATTACCCCCTTACAGCTTTTAGTAGGCGGGACAAACGCTTAAGACCGGCCAAGCTGACAGTAATCTAGTGAGACTCCCCACAGGGATAGATTGATCTAAAAATATATGGAAATGGGGTGTTAGATATTTTTTAAATGTGTTAACTAACATTGCCATTGTTAGAGAAATTAACTAAAATTTTATGATAAAGGGGTGTAAATGGAGAATACGCCAATTTTGTTTTTGTTTCACAGAAAGCAGTCGCTGTTTATTAGGAGATTAACATTAGGCAGTATACTCTTACAAAAAAGAATAACAATGAATCAGTAATATTACGTAATTATATATTATGTCATTAAAGCAGTAAGCAATTATGATAATTTGAAAAAGACGACGTTTCACCCACATTAGTTAAATGTGTATAAAATCGTACGAGGGCACAGCCTGAATATAACCTTATTATCCAAGGAAAGTAAGCGATGACCGTCTTCATCCCCATTGTTTTTGTCGTGCTCCTGTAAGTTAACAAACTATTTGGTTTTTAGCAACTAGAAAAATTAGGAACATATTTCTGTTTAGAGTCACACCAGCAGGGTAATCCCCCAAAAAGCGCGACCATGGAGGCGGCGTAGGTTGAACACTGAGCACGCTTGAGAAGATTTTTCCAGCCGCTGTATTGCCGACACACGGAGGATCCTTTAATATTGTTGTAAACCTCTCTCTCGCAGTAGCATTTGTGGAGAACATTTGACGGTGGTCTGAAAGTTATAATACAGATGGTAAGGGGAAAAGTTGAGGCAGGCGGGTGGTTTGAAATATTGTGAAAAACTAAATAAGATACTTTGATATAAGTACATGTAAGCGTGCAGTAGAAAGTAAACACGAAAGTCAAATCCGAAGGCACAGGGGATAATTGTAATAGATAAGCAAGTTGAAATGAAAAATGAACTAAAAAAATTAGACAGCAAACGTTCCGTATACATTGTACAATATACGTGGCACACGTCCAAAACAGGAAAGAAAGAATAGAGTCGAAAAACGAGGGAGAACCCTTATAGACCTGATAGGAGACGGGTGTGGTAATGAAAGATAAAGGTGCGTACAGAGGTCAAAGGACCCCGTTATTTTTTTTTTCGTTTCTAAAAATAATTCCTTACGACGAAAACAAGTAATTACGGTTATGTAGGATGTGCAAAAAATGAACTCACTCTTTGACTTCCCATTACTAACAAATGTGTTTTTGAGAACGGTTTTTCATACCCTATCTTATTTTATTATGATTTTAATATTTCTTCTTCACATTAACTCATTATACCTGTATCCATGACAATAAATATCTAAATCAAAACAATATCAAAGGCAGTCGAAGAGTAGGTTTATTTTTGGGTCACCCTGTAGCCTATAGGCAGAAAAGATGGGTATTCTGCTTGGCAATAAAACCTAAAACTGTTTTGTGCTGTAGAAACAAATGGCGTGAGGAATTGACTTATCTTATCAATATTGTTAAAGAAACCATTTTTGGCAAATTTGTTCTAGCATACTGAAATACTGGTCGCATAATCTACATGTACTTTGAAAACAAAAGCGATGCTGTAATTATAGATCTATATACTTACTGATCACAGAGACACATGTCGTGTCTGAGGCACATTTCGTCCAATTGGTCTTTGGGTGGAAGACAAGCCCTATGAATAAAATAACATAAAGTGCACGCAAATCATTAATAGAAAAAAATCTTTCTGTCGACAAATAATATTATTTAAAACTTCTAGTACCCCTATGACAGTTTCATAAAATTTTATAAATGAATATATATTGTTGTAATTGTAGAAAAAAAAATATATAAGGTAAAAACGGTTAGCCACACTATCTGGAGGTTCTGACATTACAATGACATGATTCAGTTAATTTCGTGCGAATCAGCGACAATAAACGTAATACGTAAAAAAAAGAAATTATTAAAGATACCTGCATTCTTCTATTGTGTTGGCACAGGTACAGCAGTCCAAGCCGATGCCGGTCGTCTTCAATCCGCACCAGTTACCATATTTTGTCGGTGAACGTTTGGAACGAATATGAAATGCTATAAGCAGAAATTAAAACAAAAAATCACGATACCCTCGACTTAACTTCTGACATAATACACGTTGTTCGTGTACAACTACATCTACCTCCGCTGTAACGTGACAGAGAGTCCCCCTATGTTAGAGAGTCCACTTCCCACTCATTTGTACAGGTTAACCTCGCCATAGATTCTGAACCACTTCGGTCAGGCTAACCCTAACCATTATAACTAAATGGAGGGCGGAATTTCTGTTACGCAGACCCTCAGTTTCGTTACACTGGTACACGTGTCTGTGCATTTACATGTTACTGCACCTGCATGGACATCTACATGTAATTCAGTGAGATATTTATTTTGGCATTTATATTATCGTGATTTGATAACATTTTCTAATTTTAATCACGTGGTGAACAGTAGGGATTGCAGTTTAGAAACCATACCAGTACCTCCTACCGGTACATCAGTTCCATGGGCGAAGCAGGCAAGGGTGCAGGTAAAAACAAATAACGCAGCAAGTGGCGCCAACATTGTCATTGTGTGCCCTCTACACGTGAAAGTCTCTAAAGAAAGAAGACAACATATATATATATATATATATATATATATATATATATATATATATATATATATTACGCACTTTCAGGGCAGTCGTCGATATCTATATATCTATCTATCACATCCTGTCAGGAGAGATTCTGAACCAAATGAGCACAGGCACTAATATATTCAACATATAAGATAAAGATGAAATTAGAATTTAATAAAAGTTAAAACTCTTATACTGGAGCTTCAACGAAGTTAGCCGAGGAAGACCTTTAGAAAGTATTGCGGCTGAGACGTACATGTAGTAACCTCAATTTCAAACGTTATTTTCAGTATAAAACTTAATTATCTCACATGTACATATACCCTGTACATGTAACTGAACAGTGTATCTAAGACCCCATTTCCATAGATTTTAGATCGATCTATCCCTGTGGGGAGTCTCACTAGATTTCTGTCAGCTTAGCCGGCTTAAGCGTCTGCCCCGCCTACTGAAAGCTGTAAGGGGGTAAGGGGCAATTAACTATGATGCGTGCTCGGTTGACTGCAATTTAACGTGAACCCCCAGGGAGTTAGGTCGATCTAAATCTTAATCTCTGGATCGATCTAAATCTCTGGGAATACACCCTCAGTTTAAAACCTCTAGATACTTCAATTCTTAATTTCATCTTGACATTCGACACTATCCATGCTGAATACAAACAATGTAAGCGCTAAGAAAAATGTGGCTAATCCAGGAGACATAATGACCCTTAACAGCTGAGGTACGTTCATCCAACTTTCCCTCCCAAAATAATTAAACAGGATGGCTAAAGGAGACTAAGTCAATCAATTTCCGTCAATCTACTCTTCACATGTACCCTTACCATGTGCAGCATTTCAGTAAAATTCCCTTCGTCTTCTATATACTAATAGTCGAACAAAGCCGAAAAAATCACCTTGGTCCCCACCACTATCTTAATTAACAACATATTGGCTCCGCCAGAGATAGATCACGTACACAGCTTGGAGTATTCACAAATATTATGGACAATGTCCGGTTAATGCTTCTATATGCCTAAGACCCAAGTACCGGGGTATGCTTGTATCCGAGGAAAGCCGTAACAAACGTTTGTCACTTAGAGCTACCAGTGAATTCACAAACGGACACTCACCTTTCCCTGTCTTCGATCAAACTGACTTCAGAGAGCGTGTCTCACCTGTGCCAGCGTGTCAGCTATAATCTTCTTGTC